GTAGCCGTCAGTGCAATATATCCCAGTAAATATCTGATCGGTATCGAAGTGCTTCCGCTAGATCTGCATTATGGTTGCAGGCTGTGCAGACAACACCCGAAACAGTATCCATCAACAATCTAATCCGATGGTAGGTGGATCAATAAGCTGTGTTTAACGAAGTATCAAGTTCTTTATGCGGTTTCCGTTTTGCGTAGCGGTTGATCTCCTTCACCTTCGATGCTCACCACGCATACTTGATGCTGACCTCAAGTTGTGGTGGACTAAAGGCTAACACTACTACACCAGGTACCAGTAGTATGCGAGTGCCAGGATGCGAAACGCAAACCAGCCAACAACGGGCCGTAACGACCCCCAAATGAAAGGAACACTTTGAATCCGCGGTTGTGTGCGCAAGAGGAATGGACTCATAAGCAATACACACCACACAGCCACTAGACAGAAAGAAATCTCGGGCCTTTGCAGCCTCCAACAAGTAGTGCGGAGATGAGTGGATGTTTCTTTGGTCAGAACTCATGCACCTAGTATAAGCTATGTTTGAAGCATGGAACAGTCCCGCTTGTACGTCGAGTTGGTACAGCGGTACCGTGACCAACCATGATGCATCATGGAGATTTCCTGGCCGGAGCTGTTTGGTAGAATGCTATGTGAGGACGTTCCTGGAGGAATTCGAAGATGTGAAGTAGGCGTTTGGAGTTGAGGCCGACCGGGCGAAGTCGGTGCCCGTGTAGTCTTCTCAAGGGCGAAGGCGGTCCTAGAGTCGGCGCGAGGAGGCTCGGTCAACACGACGGGTACGGTGTCCGGATTGGACGACCTGGCGGACCGTCGAGAAGCGATGTGGCGGTTCTACGCTGCATAAGGGCGGATCCCCTCGTGTTTGCAATTCACATCAGAAGCTTATTAGACGGGCCTTGCTAGGAATGGACAAACTGTCAAAACAGCAGTTACTGATGGATCAGTTCATGACCGATCTGCCACAGCTAATCGCGAAATTCCACCGGATTGCGAACGTTACTCGGGAATGCGGCTGGAGGAGTTGGTGCAGGTTACTCGAGAACTGGGCGATGCGCCATTCGCTGCGCTGAAGGAGGAACACCATGGAGGCGTGGAGCGGTTGGATAAACTGGAACGGATGACGTAACAGCTGGTGCAAGATGTCAATAAGCTTTCATACTCAGCGCTCGGAGGAGCGAACAATGGGATGCTGCTTCTTTTACGGGAACCCGGGACACTGGAAAAGACAATGTCCGATGAGGCGCGCTACTGCCCATGTACAAAATAAACGCATATGCGTTTGTTTTTCTTCTCGGATCAAGGAATGTGCACTCGGCGCGTTGAATAGGGGACGGTCGAAGCGATAGTGGAAGTAGACGGAACGATAGAACGGTGTCTGCTCAATACGAGTGCCGCAGTGTAGCTGATCAACCTTTGACGGGGCGAAAAGATTTAAGCGTGCTCCATCGTCATGAGAGTTGTTGGCTGGTACTCAGTAGGCGTTGATGGTATGACCAAACACATGGGAATCGGGAGACGGAAACAAACGCACGTCTTCATCGTGTCACCGGATGCGAAGCAAACCATATTGGGAGCAGATTTCCTGGAGTTCAACAAGGCCATCCTCGATTTAAAACGAGGAAAGTTCTTGACTGAATACGGGTCCTTGCTACTCATTGGCCGAAGAGGAACGATACCTTCGCATCCGGTCGTTTCCGCGTTACATTTGAGCTCGACGGATGATGTCAGTCGGTATGAATTTTGCGACTGGATCGAGCACACCATCCCGCTAACCCGCCAGACGTATCGGCCTCAGGGGCCTCGAAGAATACCAATCTATTTGGAGGATGAAGTGAGGAGACAAGTACAGGAGATAGTGGACACGGATGAAATTGAAGCGGCGCACAACCCATACAATTCTCCTGTTGTCTTGGTGAAGTAGGCTAATGGGAAGTATCGTTTCTGCGTGGACTTCCGAAGCCTGAATGAAATCTGCTTGAGCCGCTTCGTTCCCGTGCCATCAATTGCTGACTTTTTTCATCGATTGCAACAGTCGAGGATATTCACGGTTCTAGATCTGAGATCTGGATACTGACAACTGTCGATCAAACTAGAAGACTGAGAGAAGACGGCGTTTACGGCGAGAAAAGACGGCATCGGTGAAAAACAATACCAGTTTAAAAGGATGTCTTTTGGATAATCGTTAGCCCCGTTTACCTTCCGACGTTTAATGCTTCGCGTACCGAGTGGATTGGAGAACGTGGCGGTGTACGGGGATGATATCGTGGAGTATAGCCAATCAGAGGTGGAGCACAGTGGTCATCTCGAAGCAGTCGTGGAACGGATTCAGCAGTCGGGACTCCGTATAAATGAACCGAAATCCTAGATTGGAAAGACCTCACCTTATTGCGCCATAAAGTGGGACAAGGTGAGCTGAAGCCACTGCCTGATAAAACATTGATAACACAAAATCCCCAGTTCCTACCTCGAAGCGCACTCTCCGGGGCCGTGCTAGGTATTACAGCAAATTCGTCAAGGAATTCAACAATTTGGCCTCACGATTGTACGAACTACTGAAAGAGCATAATACCTTCACTTGGACTTCATAAGCCCAACAAGCCTTTGTTTGCATTTTACGGCATATAAGAAAGCAGGAGATGACCCTGAAATTGCCAATTGCTGGAGAAATGTTCACAGTGGCCACTGATGCCAGCGACGTCGGCGTCGGCGCGGTTTTGAAACAAAGGCATGGGACGATTGTGTACACCACCAGAATATTCACGCCGGTAGAACGCAAATAACGATACGAAGGGAATGTCTCGCAATCGTCTGGGAGTTGGACAAATGGTGGCCATATATTCTAGGTCAACGACATCACGTCGAGACGGACCAAAAGCCTTTGCAATGGATTAATTCTGCCAAAGACCCTAGGGGAAAGCTGGCGCGATGGGAGCTGTGCCTACAGGAATACGATTTCACCATAATCCACGTGTTGGGGAGGATTTTTCCCCACGCATGATGAACGAAGATGACCTGTCAACTGTGGCTTCCAGTATTAATAGTCTACTGTTTGAGCAAAATCCGGGACAGTTGGCTGCCGAACAACGTAGTGACGAACACCTGCGCAAGGTGATCACCGCACGATTAACCGGTCAATCAGTCCGAAACACCAGCTAACACTAGCAGTTCGCACCGTTTGCGAGAAATCGTGTAAAGCTACAAGTAAATGAAGCGTGGATCCTGATGTGGATACCAGGAGTTGGCAACGCTTCGGTGCCGGTTATTCAGACTAAACTAAGGCGGATGTCAAGAGACGGCGCACACCGGTTGTTCCTAGACGTACGATTTGTTGAGACAACGATACTATTGGTTTGGCAAGAAGAACGACATCGAGACATACGTGCTTCCCTGCAAGCAATGCCAGCTCTTGAAATCCGACTGGCGAGGAGCACAACAGTCAGTGCTGTCGACTCCGGCATCGGAAATTGAGGAACTACGGTCGATCGATATGATGGGACCGCTTCCATTGACCAGGTGGGGAAACCAATACCTATTGCTGATTACAGAGCATTTCACGCGCTTGATTGAAGCAACGTGAATCCCGGCTCAAAAGGCGACCACCATTACCTATGCTGTCATTAAAAACTGCTAGTGGATCACGGAATCCCAAAGGGCATATTAAAAGACCAGGGTCCGTGCTTCGAGAGTGAGTAATTCCGGGACTGCTTGGGGAAACTTTGTATCATGCAAGTGCGAACAACCCCATACCACCCGCAGACAAAAGTCTTAACGAAGCGTAACAATAGCACAATCAAAGATTGGCTAGCAGCAAAGGGTGGAGATTGGGAGAAAGTTTTGCCACTGCTGTTACTGACCCATCGAGCATCCAAACAGGCTTCCACAAAGAAATCAATATTCCAATTGATCTACGGTCGAGCACCTCGTCTACCTGTGGATCTAGAGGAAGGAAGTCAACCGTAACCTGAGGGTAACTCAGGCGCAGATGATGGAGAAGTTCCAGACGAACAATGGTGAGGCACCGGTCGAGTTTCAGATCGGTTCGAAGGTGAAATACAATGGCCATCAGCGCGCTCTCACTTGTGGCCTTGGGGAGAGGAAACACCTAACGAGATGTTCGGCAGGTGAGGCCCGTGTATACAATGGCTCGGCAAGAGATTCACGGTGAGTACATGCAAGTGAGTTGAAGAAGTTGCACGATTTAGAAGAGGAACCCATTTCACACAGTGAGCATCCCCGACAGTCAGAAAGACTCCGAGTAACTGGCAGCTGGGGCGAGCACTTTGGAGAGGAATAAGTATCGTGGACTAAGGACAGACACTACTGCGTCAGTTATCAGTGGTATGGACTTGCCAGGATGCGAAACGCAAACCAGCCATCAACAAGCCATAACGACTCCCCCAAAAGAAAGGAACACTTTGAAACCACGGTTGTGTGCGCAAGAGGAGTGGACGCATAAGCAATGCACACCAGACAATCACTAGACATGGAAAGAAACCCCGAGCCATGCAACCTCCAACAAGTCGTGCGAAAATGAGTGGATGTTTCTCTGGACTGAACCGATGCACCTAGCATGTGCTATGTTTGAAGGGATGAACGGTTTTCTTTGCACCTCGTGCTCTTGCCAAGCGAACCACAGCGCACCACAAATACCCATGCCCTACACAAGTGAGTTTGCAAATTAAGGTAACGCACTGATGTCATAGAAGGGTTTAACAACCAAGCACAATAGGGACTATGTAGCATAATAGCAATACATTAACAACATACATGTAAAAATCCAATACATGTCAACTGTTTGGTATCAGTCCGATGTCTGAATAGTCCCGTGTCCGATAATGCGGATGGCGTCAAATTTAATGCCTTCAGAAAGTAACCGATGTTACACAGTCAAAGAAAATCTATCCTTGCCCTGTTAATCTGTCTGTTATCATTTGGGCCAACAGCTTTTGTTTGGGGCTAAGCCCTTTAATCATGATCCATTGCAGGTGAACTTATTAGTCGCGCATGCATTCCCGGGATTCTCAACAAGCCGTTTGACCGAATGCAAACGAATTCTCTCAACCTGTGCGAACGATGCTTCAGTGGAAATCGTGACATGTGTCGGCGGGATCATTTGGAATTATACTACGGCGACGCCGGTGCCTTTCGTTGTCTCACCGAAGGAGGAGATGTAGCATTCGCAAGACACACGACAGTGCCTACGAACACAGCAGGACGGTGAGTCTTCTGGGTTATCGGTTGGCAGGTGTTGCATCAAACAGCGGTGAGTCAGTGGTACATTCCTAATGAATGATAAATCGCCAACAGCCCTGAGATATAATGATTGCTTAGAGAATATGCCCCTCAGCCACTTCCTGCTTCTCCGCGCATATAGCAAGCGGCCGAATGGGCGCTTTGTCCCATTGATAATGGGGGTAGCGCGCACTTTTGACTCTTCCGAGCACTATAGTCACAATTCGAGTAGTTAGAAGTCAGTGGCTACGCAATGGATCGCCATAACTAAATGCTAGCCGCGATACAGCTTGAATCATCTTTCACAACAATGGACGGTACAAACAGATAGAGGACTGGTTGATGTCCCAGAGATACAACTTCACTTGCAATCTACCACTAATCGAAGTGTCACAAAAGGTACTACGTGGAGTAAGAAATGGTGAAATGTATTAGAGGAATGTGCGGAGAGCTGCCTGATTGGTAGCCGCTGGGAAGAATCTTTAAAATTACACTGAAGCTGTACTACTCATTTACTTGGCGGTAGAAGGCGACGAAACCATTTAGCACTCGACCCCGGTTTCGTAGGTTGAAGGACTAAGTGCAAATTTAATGTTCTTCGTTCTAGACACTGAAAGTTATTTCAACAGACGGAACTGCGATGTTTTGAGCAGTAAACTGATTCTGCTGACGCCCTCCTTCTCTGAGTAACTGCTATCCTTCTGCCGGATGACTCATTGCACCCTACTGCTGAGGATGATAATCCAGAAAATCCAAATGGTTGATTTACTGCGCAAAGCAAACCACAGGTTTGTAGAAACTCGCATCCTCAATTTCCGCTCATTTCTATTAGTTTGGTAGGATGGATGTGATTTCAAACCCGACCATAGTTCGTTAGGTTTGATTTAAGCACTACGTCTCGCCATCAGTTGAATCAGGTGATTGTGATTCGACGCCACTGTCTTTGTTGTTTTTGTGTGTGAGTTGATCGCAGCTTTGATGGCCACGGGGTTCAGTAGTAAATTCGTACTTGAGTGGACTGACACCATTACGCGCTTCCCGTCCACAACTTCCTCATACATGCTTAGATGTACTTGCGTTTCCCCTCCATTTGGAAGATTATGTTGTCCCTCTACATACATGACAGTTATGAGGCTCATAACTCTTCAGCTTGCAGTTTGCCCCATTTGCAGCACACCGCTTAAAAGCCCTACTCCACCACTGACCGAAAGATGCTCAGTATAGTTTTGTCGGGAACCTCTGCCATCATATTGAATGCGTGGGGATGGGTGGTCCGCTTGAACCAAGTTTAGCTGACCGCTACACGACGCACCTGGAGAATAGCCGATTACGACACGCCATAGAGCAGACAAAGGTTACACTGGATGGCACCTCTGACACCGTTGATACTGCTCAGAAGACAGAACGCATATTGGAAACCTTAAAGAAACAAATTTACTATAGAATGCGAATCAGCAGATACGTTTCACTTTTTGGATGCTGCTTTGACCAGACTATCAGTGGGCTCGCTGATAAGATCGACTTATCCTTGACCAGCCTGGACGAGGCAGTGCCCAAATTTCAGCGTTCCCTGTCTCTTGAACTATAAGTTATCCATGGTTGGTACTTGTTTAATGAGAGCTAGCCGAATGTGCTCGGAGGTGTCATTCACGAACTAGTTACAACGTATCTTATTCCACCCAATATGATAACGAGTACCATAAGTAACTTCATCTCCAAATATGGGGCAGAGAATGCTGTGTACGAAGTACAACCCAGGTTCCCAATCGACATGGGTTCATTACGCTGCGTTTCAAAGGGGAGCAAAATGATATATGTTTTTTCACCCCTCCCACCAATTCAACAACGGGTGCTATTACACGGCTGAGCTAGTACTGTTAAACCAGACTAGGACGTTGCCACATAAATCCAACCTAGACAGGCGTTTCTCCCGGGTTACCGACTCACGCGTTTACTATTTTAACTGTACATGCGGTATCTTGTGCATTGGATGAACTGAGTGAACATTGCCGACCAAGATGATGGAGCACGCTCTCCCTGGTTTAGGTTTTAGTGGTCCTAATTTATCTACTATTCCCGTCTCTCGGTATCTGCTCGATTGCGAAGGCACTCGCAAATCATTCGAGGTTATCAGTAAGCAAAATACTTCAAGCCATCTCTCGTTTACTGAGACGTCCGCCATTCGGTAACTAAAGACCATCCTTTCCAAACAGTTTGATCTAGCGGCTAGCGTAGCCTTACCCTGGCATGGTGCAGGTTCAGACTTTGGAAACGATGACTGATCACCACAGTATTCAATTGATTATTCGCAACGATCCCTCATTACCGGTATTACCACTGCATGTGAGTGAGGGGTTGGCTTAAAATACACTAAAGCTACTGAATTTATGTTATTCCGCTAAAGGTTGTTTGTCCGTGCTATTTGAAAACCATTAGTGATGCTTATTCCCGACCAGTAACACGCGATTCGCCACAGAACAGCTATGAGAAAGTGACCCAGTGCTATTCAAAACTCTGTTGTTTGTGCCTCACTTAAACCCTTTTCAAAAACACATTTGCATACCGCACTCAGTTGTCCACACTTTGTTACATAAACGACTACTCCGGAATGTATTCCGGCGAATTCTGGAACAGTGGCTTATAACGGATGAAATGGTAAACGATTTTAATGTCTGTGGGATAGTTAGAACGAGCATTACAAAATGAAAACACGATGTTTGCAAAAGAACACGCAAGCTAGATGACTCATCAGGAGGTTTAGAATCACACCACTGCAACTATTCCTTGCTTTGATTTTAAGCGAAGCCTGAAACAGCCCACTTGTTACTCTGCCCTAATGCCGTCATTCGATGGTCATGTGACGTGAATGTGTCAGCGTGTCGTCCAGTTGTTTTTTAACTGGTACTAATGTAAGGGGAGCATTGTATACGTGAACTGGGACCGAGTTCCAGGACTGTGACACTCGGAAGAAAACATGTCATCTATATTCCGGTCGGCTGTGCTGCGTGGCCAACTTGAACTGTTGGTCTCTCAGCAATTTGTTTGGGTGTTTCATATACAGGTAATTTGGTAAGGGCAGTTTAGAAATCCGACAGTTGTTTGCATGAGGCTTTAGCCCTACTAATTTATTACGCAGTTTTGCATGATTGTATTCCATTTCAACAGTCATGTCTCACATATGTCACCCTTCTGCCGTTTCATTCGTCGCAGTATAGCCTTTGCCTTTGCGCTTCTATCCCCTACCAGTCTACGTGACTGATAAGCAAATACTGTCTTCTACTGTTCATTGTTCCACCGTACTCCTAAGTTCTGAACACCGTGCAAATCATACTGCATACAATTTACTGCTATCGGTCTGCTGTCCGCCAGGTTTAGCAAAAGCACGGTAACAGTTTTCAGGGAATTAGGTGTTTCCATTATTCTAGCAACATCACCCACATATTGCAAGGTGTCTTGTGACTTTACGGGACGAGCCCACTCCTATGTGGTCTCCTTTCAAGCACAACTATCTCACAGCTTTATTTATTATTTTCAGTAATCCGGATTATTGGGCGCGTAACCTACGTGAAGACGATTACGAGTTGCTCTGCACAGATGGTCGTCGCTCCGAAGTGAACAAATGGGTCACCTGCAATTTGGGACGGATCCCCAGTAACGCGGTGGTGACAGCAAGCTACAAGTCAGAGAATGAGCGTACAAATATGTGGCGGATGCTACAATATGGACAGGATTATTACTCCGCTGACAAGTAACCAAACGGTGTAGCTTTGAGAAATATTTTATCCTATATACTTCACATTTAGTCATGTGTCGAAATAGCGTTCTCATGCCGATTCCAGGTACTTCGGAACCACTTTAACAATTTAGATTCTCTTGTACAGCAGATACATGCACGGGGTTGGAAAACTTCTGCGACTTCATTAAAATAGTTCGACTCATTACAACCGACCGCCGGATGTTGTTTGTGGTGGGGATATATCTCCCAACCCATTACAATGACGTAATCCCAGTACAAGAGCTGATAGGGCCATCTGAGGCTTCTCTCCTTTCGCACTGGACGGGTAGGGGCTAGTACGTGAAGATACTTTGACTCTTCTGGCTGTGCTCTGCCCCTTTTGAGAGCCCCCTTGAGTTTGGTGATGTACGGCTTGGTATGTAGATAAAGCTACCTAGATACACCTAGCTCTCGAATACTTTGCAACCCAAGGTCCCAATCTGTCTACCATGTCTGGTGTTCTTGCTTTTGGATTGTACGCTCTTGAGTCAATGGTGCGATGACGCGGCTTTATAATTACAACGACGTTTTGGCGGTATTACCAGTACACTTTATGTATCTTTAGCAATAACCTAGTGGTCAACTATTCTTCAGGCTAGCACCACTTCAGTGATCAGTGAGAAACGTCACCACACCATGTGTTCGCGTTCATTTGGTGGACACGGAGACATGTAATTAACAAAATTTGTACCGGTGTAAATCTGAGGCGTAGCATGGAGGGGCGAAGGGGCGGCCCGACCCGGGCGGCAGGTGACAGGGGCCAGCATTTTATTACCCTCGATTGTGCGATATGAAATATAAAGCATAAACTATTCGGATAAACTGAGGATTGCAGATTGTAATGTTACTCTGTATGACGGGCAACACATTGTGCCTCGTGTCACACCTGGGAAAACATCCTTCCCAGGCGATCCCCTTACTTGTCTCATTGTGTGGTCGCTTTCATCCCAATTACCTCAGTGTCCCCAAGAATCATCCATTTCATCGAAAACCAAAGTGCACTTTATCCTGAGCCGATTGTGTGACCTTCACGCGTCTATTTTGCCCCCAGTCAGGGTGAAAACTTCACCACGGCCCCGGGCGGCAAAAGTAGTTGCTACACCACTGGTGTAGCTACGTTGCTAAATTGATACGTATTGGTATTTGGCTTTACCCTGAATGGCTTTCCTTTCTGACGACATCCCGTAACCACGAGGAGTGGGTGCGTGTGTGTCTACCGTGCAGAAACGTTCTCTCTTTTCTCGTATCACGTCTGTATTTACTCGCAAATTTCATTGCACCCACGTTTGCCTACACTCATTCGAGTTAGCTTGATGATTCTTGTTAATAACTTTGCACCGCCAATATGAGTCTACGTTTGACAGTGTTTTTAGAGCCATTGGTAACATGTTTATGTTGTGGGGTAAGGTTGGTTATACCGTGAGGGTTGCAATAGTTAAACTGCTAAGCAGGCATTTTTGAAGAGGAAAAATTCAGCTCAATTGGAAGATCGGACAAAGCGTTGGAGATGTGTCTAATTATGACCCCCCCCCCCCGATACAACGTTGTATGGGCTGCTGTGGTGTGACGTATATCCGGTACCGAAGAGAAGTCTTATTGTCTTGTGGTCACTACCGGAAAGTGGTCTAGTGCATCGTATTTTGCGACGTAAATTCCTAACATGCGTATTAATAAAGGTACATAAATAATAGGTCAAATGTGACCATGTTACCAGATTGCTAAAATGTGTTTACTTTTAGTGTGCGCAACCTTCTGTGTGCGCATTCTTCCGTGTCTGCAATCTTTCGTGTGCAACCTTCGGTGTGTACAATCCTCCGTGCGCGCATTTTTCCATGTGCACAATCTTCTGTGTGCGCAACCTCCGTATACACTTTTATGCCTGTGCGCTTTTTGCCGTGCGCAACTTTCATATGCGATTTCTTCTGGTCACCACTGTGAATACAATCTCCTTGTAGCAAATATCGTCAACACTCGGTGAAAATTGATTCCCAAATCATCATATAGCAGTACTGATTACGTAAGGCTACAACCGAAGTTTGATTGTGCAACCGAAACTCGTCTCACATTTTTGAGTCCTAATCCACTGTGAGTTAAACGATTTTTTGTCGATACTACATGAGAACGTGAAAAATCATTAGAGTATTAACGAGTGTGATCACATCTGGCTAAATGTTTGCAATTGGAATACTTCATGGGTACTGCTAAAAGACTGTTTCCATGCATCTTACCTGATGGCCTTACTGATGAAGCACAGTTACACTCTCTCTGTGATTGGCGTTCGTGCTGTGAGTTTCTTTGTCCCACCCCATCCCTCTTAGCCTCCCCCTCCAACCCATTACTTAGCCTTGTATAATTTTGCATAATAATTTTTTTCGGGTGCACAGCAGCCGGCTGGTAGCTTACCGGAAAGATGCCCATCCGTTACCGGTAGCTCAGCCAGCTTTCACCAGTTGTTTTTTTTCTCTCCTTTTTTCTTTGTATTGCGGCACAGTAGCTGAGGTGTTTCCCACCTCTAGCTAACGTGTATGATGATAATGATGATGCTGATGTGATTGGACAGCCCAAATGATACCGCCTGTCTGTTTTGTAAACAGTGGGAATCACACAAAAGGGCTGGTATTAGTCGTTGCTGATATTGAGAATGCGTTTCCGGTTTCTAAACCGAAATTGCGGGTTGCTACAAGAATGCTGTCTCGCCTGCTGTACTGAAAGAGGGCGTTCGTATTGTTACCCACTAAGTTGCGCTACTCGCATTTGCCGAAGAAAAGCCTCAGGTACTCCCGGTTGACTATGCTTTAGAAAGCTCATTGGAACTAATTTCAGCTTCGGTTCAATGGCTACGGAGGCTTCAGAGCCGGGTCGTTCCACGACCCCATTAACACTACATTAGGTTGTAAAGCAGAACACAAAAGTTTATCTCCAAAAAAGAGGCGACGACTTGAACGTGGTGCGATGGTTTGCATACCTCAGCGATCCATTGGGCTATGTTGGGTAGTGCTTTGCACCTTCAGAGCCACTCATACCAGATTGGTTAGTAATTAGAGGCCAGACAAACTCAGTCTCCAGGTTCGGCCTTGGAATGAGAGTGGCTCCTTACTCCATAAAACGGGCTCTGTAGTCCAGTGCCGAAACCCCGCTGCCTTGCTGTCAGGTCTTTGAACCAAAGGCTTTGATTGAGAACCCTAATCATTCTGCTGTCTAGGCCTGAGCAACCTGACAGTATTCTGCTCACGCAATACAATGAACCTTTCTTCTAACAATTTATTGATGCTCTGGCCGTCGCAGCGGATAATAAACGACGCCCTATCTGCTGCATCGAGCAGTGTGGATAAGGGTTTGGATGCTACTGCTCAAGCCTTCCCGTCTTCTTATTCTCCCTCTTGCGCTTTTTCATAGTTATCGTCCCGCTACAACCGCTTTTATTCCGCCTGTATTCAGTCCCCGTTCTTGGCCCCCATCTTTGTTCAGTAATCCTTTGTCTTCTAATTTTGACTCACACGCACTCACAGGGTGTCGCTCCAGTCCAGTCGGTAAGTTCATGTCCATTCAAACAGATAAGGTTAGCTCATCTGCTATTTGGAGTCATCAGTACTTCTAAAGACTGGCATAGCTCAAGGTAAGCACCTTGTTACCGATTAGTCAACAGACAGCACTTGTCCGGACATTGGAGACTTTCAATCGATAACTGCTGTTTATCAGAAATTCGGCCGCAGCATTAGAGTTCTGTGATTATCCTGCGATCCCCAACGTGTGACACTCGATATTTTCTTATTGCGCTTGTCTGGAGATGATGCGGCCTCAAACGCTGGTCAAGCCGGTGTGGGCATTGCTCTTAACCTCCGGGCTGCATCTACCCTGATCGATTGGATCCCAGTGAACAGCCAGATCTGCGTTGTACATTGGCTGGTTCATTCAGAGCCTCGAAGTCGCGTGGGAACAAGCGATGTTTGTTTGTCATTTCGGTAAACGCGCCCACAAGTTGTAGCGTTGACTCGGTGAAAGAGCTCTTCTAACAACAATTGAACGCGCTCTTTCGTTACAGAGAAAGTACGGATACTTTGGTGCTAGCTGGTGACTTCAACGCCAAGATGGTAAACCGTCCACTGATGTGCTTCATCTGGGCGGCCAACACGGTTTAGACTCCCGGAATGATAACGGTGAGCGGTTGCTGCACCTGTGTGAAGATGCTCATCCCTTTCTATCGAGCACTAACTTCCGACACAGCAGACATAAAGGGTGACATGGTGTCCACCAATCTCAGATTTGACTGAAAGCAAATCGATCACATTGCGATCAGTTACTTCTGAAGACGCTGTGTGCAAAACTGTCACTCCATTTGGACTATGAGCTTGGACTCTGACCACCCAATTGTTTGTGCCGAACTTCAGGTGCGTTTCGGCGAACATCCGCAACTGCACTGGGAGCGCATAGATACTTGTCAACTGGCGAGGTCAAATGTCCTGAATGCGTATCAAAGTACGCTGGCATCCAAGCTAAGTAAACGCTCACAGAACACAGTGAAGATTACTAGTTGCATATCCGCCAGACGTTATTATCAGCAAACATGTTTTCGTATGACAAACCAAATCGCCAACCTGGACATTGGGTCTCCACGCAGTCTCTGGCACTTATTGATGCTCATCGACGTGTTCCAGCTGGAAGCAAATACAAGGAGAAAGAATACAAGCAGAAATCTCAGGGCGAAACTGCGTGCTAGCCTGGAAAGAGACTGTGAAACGTGGTGGTCTCATCGTGCATTGGAGAGGGAGACAGCCGCTGCCCTTGGTAACCATCGGAAGTTATTCGTCTGATACGAGAAACGGGCAGTAGGAGACCTTTTGTTATCGAGACAATACACGACGAGAGTGGACAGCCAATTCACAGTTTGTAAAAGCGCTTGAAGTGTCGGGCCGAACACTTTGAGAAGCAGTCCAATCAGCCAGAGTTACCAGTTTCTCCATCGGCAAATGGTC